GCTGGTGTCAGTGTGGGAGCAGGTGTTCATACAGGGGGAGCCGCTCTCCAAGTACACCATGTTGAAGGGACACTGCTTGGCTGCAGTTTGGACACAGTATATTTAGAGGTCATCACAGCAATGGGTTAATGACACTAAGCACTGCAGGACATGAATTAGGATGAAGCTGTGAGGAGTTCAGATGTCTGTCAGATGCTTTGCTTTCAAGATACTGCAAAGGTCTTCTGCTTCAGGGCAGATCCTAGACTCTTTGATTTAAGGCAAAGGATCATATTTATATACAATATTGCCTCTCACAGCAGTAAAGAAGGCCAAGCAATTCACAGTTATGCAGCAAAAAAGACAAAGTAGTTTTCAGGATAAAAACCCTGCTCTCTTACAAGGAGCAGCAAAAACATCAGTTACAGCCTAAGGGCAAGATTCCAAGTAGTAATGAATTATAACCCAATACTAATCTGGTATAAACAGTTCGCCTGTAATCTAGCACCGGGCCCTGATGCATCTTACCGCAGAATTTCTCAGTCCTCCAGTTCTGGGGAGTGCCACCAGCATGGGAGCACTGCCGGGAGAATTCGGAGAGGGTGCTGCACACACAGAAGTCACCCAGGGTAGAGTTACAGCTGCACATGTCCTGAATGCAGGCCTGCAGGTAGGGCTCAGGGTCCAGGGAGCTCATACAGTCGGCCCAGGTGTTGGACTTGAGCAGCTGTTCACAGGGTGTGCGCTAGGTGCAATACAGGCAGGTTACAGCCACTGAAATGAGAAACTGTCCACAATCACATTCTGTGCCGAGCTGGAGGTTTAGACGTGATACTCACATACTGAGAACAGGAAGGTGTTGATTCCTCCTCATAGGGGTCTTCACACACCTCATTGGGCCGATGGATCTTCTGCTGGTTCCCAAATGTAATGGGGCTCAGGGCTTCACCTGCATAAGAAGGTTTACGGTTTTAAATATGTTTTGGCAATGCAAAAGATATGACATTTACAGAATAACTGATGAATAGTTTACTAAATTCATTTGTGTTAAGTACACATAAGGTTTTTTATTATATTATATAAATTATAACCATGAGAAAAGTAGTTTCACAAGTATATAAACTCAGTCTTCACTATTCGTGTTTGACAACAATGTGTGATGCCTGACTGTCTCATAGTTTTCAAAGTCCCTTGTTCCAATAACTCACCTTCATAGATGAACTCATTATACATGCTGATCCCATTGTAATCCCCACACAGCCCACAGGTGCGGTTCCTGTACTTGGAGTCCAGCTCCAGCTGAGG